AATCACATAAAGTCATATTATAACATCGACTGAGATAAGGAATAAAATGAAATATTAAAATCATGATGTATCTCGCTGCATTGTGCGAGTACGCTTCTAGTTTATCTATAGTTAGTTACGTGAATTCAAAAATGGATCTTTAATAAGTTGTACTTATGTATAATTTATTTGAAATCTTGAATTTTAAGTAATATGCATTAATAACTGTACTTCATGCATAAAAAATAGTTTTTAAGTGTTTTTGTCAAATGTTTTATAATATATAATAAATAAACATTATTTTATCTTTTAAAATTTACACTTAATTTTCATAACAAAATTTTATTTCACTTGCTTGTTTTCTCCATTAAGCTCTAAATAATTCTTTATATATGATATTTATATATGACAAATATGTATGCATAGTTCTCATCTTTAGTGAAGATCGAACATCTTTCGCAATATTGGAATCTACTGATAACTCGAATATTGTTGCGCTAATGATTCTTTGACATATATAGATGATAAATGGTCCAAGTCTCTAGCGACGTGAAAATCAAACATAACATTCCAAACATACCCTACCAGATATTATCCGCTTTATTCCACATTTGGACTCAGTTTTAAAATGTGTCTAATAGAGGAGTTAGGCAACTTTCGTTCCCCTCCCCAACCAATGTGAGATATTACAATCCACCCCCTTGGGAGTCCAGCGTTCTCATTGACAGACCAGTCCGATTACCGTCTCTCATACCATCTACAACATTGCAGACAAACTGTACCAGATACTGTCCGTTTTATCCACACCTGGACTCACAGTTTTAAAACGTGTTTGATAAATGAGGTATCAAGCCCCTTATAAGGCAACATTTGTCCCCCCCCCCAAAACTAATGTGGGATCTTACACATGCTCCCTACAACAGAAGTTAGACGGATACATATTGTCTAAAGTGTTGATAGGAGGCTAGATAGGTGCGGGATTGACGAGCATAGATTGGCCCTGTCAAGTCACTAAGATAAAAAGTACCGGTATTATTTAGTTTTTAACATCATACCTCCGAGTGAGGGCATGATGGTACTTTGAATCAATTGGGTTAGTAACCAAAAATTCTAGCTATTCAAAGCCCATTATCACAAATATATTTCTCAAATAAATCTGTAAAATTATAATTTAATTCTTTTAAATTATTTAACATTAAATGGAAAACCCCATAAAATAGTCATATTGACTTTGTCACCTTGTGGTCTTTTCATGACTTAAAACCAAGAATGAAATGCTTTAAATGACAAATTAAAAAAAAAGACAAAAATACCCTTATTTAATAATTGATGTATTATGTATGTGTATGGTACATAAGCTATAAATACCTCTCAACCCCAAAGCAATTAAGAGGAGAGGGTGGTCCAACCTAATTTTAATATCAAGAGAGCAACCTAAAAGAAGAATATACAGGGTGCATTAATTATTAATATTACATGTAACACCTCCATATATAATGAGCAAACTTTGATATTTTTAAATAAAATAATTATGTAATTTTTTTTTAATTTATGATTTTCTATTAAAATTATTAAACACGTTTAATAACTAAAAAATTAAAACGGGACGGCTATACCTACTAACCTCATCCTGACTTTGTCATTGTTTGTTTTTAAAGACGTAGACAAACGGTACTTAAAATTGTTGTTTATTTGATGATGTATTATACTGAATTTGATAAATAATATCTACATATGATGTTTGAACTTCTAATTGATCTGGAAAAAACACCAACCAATTGGATACATTCAATACAGTAGTAGCATTGTACAGTATTGTACACTATTGTATAGTATGACGTATTTTTTTATCAATTCTTTTTTACAGTTTAAGGTCGTGTTTGGTTAGAAGTATTAAGCAGTAATCAATTTAAATAAAAATAAAAGAAAATATTTGGTCTTATATAATATAATGAGCTCATTTCCTTACAAGCTCAAATTTTCATTCTAGATTAACCGAGAGGTTTGAAAATTGATCCTTATTCTCATTCTCTGTCATTTTTATTTTCATTTCCATTCTCGACCCAAATTTACAGTAAACTTAGAAATGCAATGTTAAAACTTAAAAGGATCAATTATCTGATTTACAGTTAAATGTACTTTATTCAAATATCATTATCAAAGTTCTTTTAGGAAAATAAAATACAAAATCATAGAAAATGACATACGAAAACGATGCACTTGTTACGTCTGATATTATTTGTATAATTTTTGAGACGACCTTATCTTAATTTTGTAAATATTATTTATTCAAATTTGAAACATTAAAAGCACTTCATATTTGTAAGGTATTGTTTGGAAGCATCAAGGAGAGACCCCTCCATGTTATGTTTACTTTATATTCTGTAAATTTTTAATTTGTTTATTTTAATTTTTCAAAAGGTGCTCATTTGATGCCTATTATTTGTATCTTTTAACTGTTATATTAAAATAGAGATTTTAAAAGTTTTACAGTTTTTTAACAACAATATTAAAACCTGATATTACATATATTATTTTAATTGTTTTCATCAATAAAATTGAATGTGTTATAATTTTTGTATTAAAAATGTACTGGAATAATGGATTTATAAAATATTTTAATAATATAAGTGTTGAAATTGTTAAAACAGAATAATTGTTGAAGTTGGATAGCATTTTTTTTAAGATCTTGGTTTTGGATATTCTATTTTTTAAAAAAAATTATAATATATTTGTTAGAGATGTTCTAAATATTATATCTGATAACTTCGACTTTAAACATTGTATTTGACGATGTTCGTTCTAATCTGCTTGTCATTTTGTGACCATCAAGCTTGATAATTGGAATCTCATGGTTATTTTTTCAGAAAACCGAATTTAGTTTACAAAATTAAATTAAAATTGTAAATTTAATCTTGTTTTCATTTACAAAAAATATAAAAGATTTGATACTAATAAAGTTGAATTTTTAAATACGATAAATTTTTATTTTTTAATAGATAAAAACATTAAACATCGTCATTAAGACAAGAAGAAAATCAATCTGGTCAATATTCTAAAATTGTTAATTAGTGATATTTGACATTTTATGGTGGTCTGTTTTAACTGATTGGTGTTTGTTATTTAAATCATTTTAAAATTAAAGTATTAAAACCAGATAAAATCCGATTATCATTTATTGGTTAACTGAAAACCGATCATGTAAATGCTCGGTTAAAGCTTGTTGTTCTTACCTCAATCATTTATTTTTGATATTCAAGACCGACAAAATTGAAGAAGAAACCTTCATTTGACCTCCGCCAACATCCCCCGTGACAAGGTTTATTTCATTTTTGACATGATCAACCCTTAATAGAGGACTCAAACGACGGGCTATTAACTCTAAAATCAAATTAAAGATACAAAACTATTCAAGACAAATTTAAAAAGAAAAAGACGTCAAAAGAATTATTTAGTTTACAATCTTATAATTTAACTTATTTTTATTTTCTTACGATTAATTAGTTTACAATAAAATGAAGTTCAAGATATTTTTAAAATAACCGTCCATTTTATTCTTTTATATTCTAATTTTTTATTTAAAGACCGGTGCCACTTCTCGATCCGGTCTTTTTTTTTTCTCTTTCTGAACCGGTCTTTTATTACTAAATTTAATTCTAAATTTGTTTGAACGTTTTTAAGATATTGATGCGAGAGGATGGTTGCGTTGCGGTGCCGGGCCGCTGATGATGTAGTGTCAAATTACGATTCAGTTCATGTTGTACAAATTCAATGATTTGCAAGTGGTTTAAGAACCAGTTGCAAACCTCACCTCACTCGACTCCACACCCCCACTCCCTCTGTTCTCGCTTTTTTGGGGAAAATTCACATGAATAAAGTTGTTCCATAACTTCCCAATCAATCAAGAACAACAGTAACAAAACATTCATTCCCGCTTCACACACACTTCCCTTTTTAAGTTATCCCTCTGCTTCTGCAACCAATCTCTTCTAGTTTTCTACTTACAAGACTACTCATAATCCGACACTGATTTGGTTTATGGGTTGCTGTCCAAAGATTCCTGGATTTGAACCCTAGTAGTGTTCTTGATTTTGCTTTCTAAAAGATTCTTCCTTTAAGCATTTTTCTTCCAAGTTTGATTGATTCCTCTATCTTTATTCCCTAATGATTCTCATGGGTATTTCTGTAAATTCATGGAGGCTCCGACGGTGAGGACTTCTTAGTGTTGCAGAGAAATAAGATAGACAATTTGCAGCGAATATGAAGCAATTGATTTCATTTCAACTCTTCTGTCTTACTTTAGGGTTCTTGCTACCCGTTTATGAGGCTGTTCAGCCAGTTGAAGGTATGCAGTTTTAATTTTAATACTTGCAGGTAAATTTTAGAGATTTTTTAGCCAAAAAAAAAAACCATTCGTTTCGTGTAACCCTGTTCTTGATTTTTGCAGTTCTTGCTTTAAATTCGTTCAAGGAAGCTGTTTTTGAGGACCCTTTTTTGGTTTTATCAAACTGGAATAGTCTTGATTCAGATCCTTGTAATTGGTTTGGTGTCAGCTGTTCTGGAAGTCAAGTTACAAAACTGTGAGAACTGTTTTTCTTTTAAATTAAAACATTCCATTTCAAGATTCTTGATTGCCATGGATGATTTTAAGCTTTTATTAGTTTCATAAACAAATACTATACAGGATTTTTGTGATGAAGCTAATTGGGGTTCTAAATTTCTTTTTTACAGTAACATTTCTGGTTATTCCATAAAGGGATTCATTGCTGAAGAACTGTTTCAGCTTTCTTCTTTACAAGAACTGTATGCTTTCTTTCAACGTCTTATTTTATCTTTAAAAATAATAACGAAACCAAAGATTCATCAAGAAACTGTAATTCATGTAGGATTTTACATGGAAACAATCTCATTGGTTCGATACCGATGGCAATTGGATCATTGAAATACCTCAAGGTCTTGGATTTGGGGAAGAACAAGCTTTCTGGGCCAATTCCTCCTGAAATTGGGAACTTGGATAACATACTTAAAATGTAAGTCATGTTCGGATTTCTTACTTTCAAGTAATGAACTTTGTGCTTTTTCGGGGTTTTTTTTTTTTTTTTGTGTCGGGGTCCCACTCCCACATCTGCTAGATTTGGACCATTTATCTTCAAGGGCTTGTTTGAAGAGTAATCTGATGGGTTCCACATATTCTCACATGGTATCGAAGCTTACTTTTGAGAACTCTTTTATATTGGTTCAGAAACCTACAATCGAATGGACTGACCGGGAAATTGCCTTTGGAGTTTGGCAATCTTGAATACCTTCAAGAGCTTCGGTTGGACAGAAATAAACTGCATGGAACTGTTCCAGGTTCTAATGCTTCCGGTGTCTCTTCTGGCTCGCGAGGCATGTAAGTGCAAGATTTCATTTTGTCGCTATTGTACGTTTGTCGTCAATAATCAAGATTTACTTGATAATATGCCGAAGATGAAACACGTAATACGTGCATTTGATATATCGGTTGTATTGGACTATTGTTCAGGGATAAGCAAGGTTTTTGTCGTTCATCATCCTTAAAAGTTGCGGATTTCTCCTATAATTTCCTGGTTGGGAGCATACCTAAGTGCTTGGACTATCTTCCCGGGTATTCGTCCATTCTTTTGTGTTGTGCTATGCTCCCTTTGCTTCTTGTGGCCTTAGAATGCATTTGGTATGCAGACAGGACTGGACGCTGGGCGGGCAAGAGTGAGATAGGTAATTGAAATAATCCTGGAAGGTTTTAGGGTTTAAACTGACATGGCTAGTTTAGTAATTTACCAATCTTGTCTCATCTCTCGGAATTTTGTTCCACCTATTTTTGTCCCACTCGGTCATGTCCTGTCCTAATTTAATGTCACGTCAAATATGGTCCTGTCCTGCATACCAAACGCACAATGAGGAATTGAACCAGACGTTGTGAGTGGGCATGTAGGTAGCCGGTTTCATGAAAATGAATCTTTGCAGGACTAGCTTTCGCGGAAACTGCCTACACTTTAAAGATGCTAAGCAACGTACTCCTGAAAAATGCGGTATGTTTCCATCTTTGTTGAGCTCAGGAAATTCCCGTTTAGGATAAATTACTTTCTTGTAAGCCAACCGGAATAGGCCTTGAGGCTCCTCCCTATAGGTTGACGGTTTGAGTCTCCTCATGGCTAAGGTGGAATTATCCTGACTGTTTTTTTATTAACCTGGATATCCAACCTGTTATACGAGCCGACTAATCCCAGGACGACCACCTGCTTTGTGGGTAGCCCGGAGTCACCGCATTTGGGCCACAAGGGGATTTTTATTCCTCCTTGGATTTGAACTTGGGACCTCCAGCTCCAAGCACTTTTGACCTTTGGAGCCAAGCCCAAACCAATCAGGCACCAACCTGCTGACTATTATCTTTAGAGTCCATGGAATTAATCGAGGACCCACTGTTACCGAAAAAAAGAAAAAAAATGTTACATCTGAAACTAGAGATGGTCGTTTTTTCTGAATACAGGCATTGCTCCACCAGCAAAGACCCATACAGCCGGAGAAACACGTCTCCGTCCTGCTGAAGATCACGACAAGTCCCTTACTCATGATTCAAAACACGTGTGGATTTTAGTTATAGAGGTTGTGATCGGAGTGATGGTCGGGTCTCTCTTTCTGATCGCCCTTCTGGCAGTCATTCTGAGATGCAAAAGCAAACCGTCTGCTATGAATCTATGGAAGAAATCAACAAATGAGAAAGACCGTACGTCGATCTATCTTGATTCTAACATGTTGAAGGGGGTCGCGAGATATAATCGACAAGAACTTGAGGTTGCCTGTGAGGATTTTAGCAACATTATCGGGTCCTCATCTGACAGTCTAGTTTACAAAGGAACCATGAAAGGCGGGCCGGAAATCGCCGTTATATCGCTTTGCATCAAAGAAGAGCATTGGACCGGCTATCTTGAGCTCTATTACCAGAAAGAGGTCTTTAATAAATCATAAGTACAAAATCTTGCATTATTATGAACCCTTCTTTATCGTTCTTTACTTCAATTTCTTGTGTTCTTCAGGTTGCAGATTTGGCGAGGCTGAATCATGAAAACACAGGGAAATTGCTTGGATATTGTATCGATAGCGTTCCGTTTACGAGAATGCTCGTTTTCGAATATGCATCAAACGGAACATTGTATGAGCATCTCCATTGTAAGTCCGTCTATTCCACTACAACAAAATGGGCTTTTTAGGAGACACAACCATCATTTGGCGTCCTAATAGAGTACTTAACGAGACTTTAAGTTTATAGGACCAACAATTGTGTATCATATACAATGACGTTAACTTATTGTCGTTTGAACGGCTAAATGGATAGTGGTTTTGTTTAATGGCAGACGAAGATGGGTGCAACCTAAGTTGGTCACGGAGAATGAAGATTGTGATTGGCATTGCGAAAGGTCTCAAGTATCTTCACACAGAGATCGAGCCACCGTTTACTATATCCGAGTTGAACTCTAGTGCCGTATATCTTACCGAAGATTTTTCACCAAAGGTATGGTCTAATGCCACATTTTTGATACCATGGTTATCGTTTATGTGGATCTTTATGCCGTTTCTTGTTCTCTTTCTTGAAGCTCGTTGATTTCGAAAGCTGGAAAACAATTTTGGCGAGATCCGAAAACAACTCTCGCTCAATTAGCAATGAAGGTGATATATGTGTTCTCCCGAGCTCGTTTGAAGAACGGCATTTGGATATACAGGGTAACATTTACGCGTTTGGGGTTCTTCTTTTGGAAATCGTCAGTGGACGGCCTTCGTTCTGCAAGGACAAAGGTTGCCTGGTGGATTGGGTAAGCATTCTTCGGACATTCACTGAATCAATCAGAGATATTCGATTCTATTTGCATTATGAACGAAAATGATGAACTGCAGGCAAAAGATTATCTTGAAAAGCAAGAGGAGATGGGTTCAGTTGTAGATCCTGCACTGAAGTATTTCAGGGATGAAGATCTGAAAGTGATATGTGAAGTGGTTTCGTTATGCCTTCATTTAAGGCCGAGAGATCAGATATCGATGAAAGACGTTTGTGGGATGTTGGAAAGAACGATCGACACGTCGATTTCATCGGAGGCCAAGGCATCTTCGTTAGCATGGGCGGAGCTCATGCTTTCTCCTTGACCCGACCCGTAGAAACTAGCTACAAATAGCAATAGCAATAGCAATAGCAATAGCAAATACTGTAAATTCTTCACACATTCTCTCATATACATCTAGGATTCTTGTGTTGGTGATTATCGTTTGATGACTTCTTCGTGCAAGTTTTTCAACTCCTTAGATTGCAATGAAACCATTGTATCTAATATTTTCGGTCGAAAATGATCACCAAACAATACATTTTTTGGTAACTTAACTGATCTGGTATCGAGTTTGCTATCACTGGTTTGAGTGCTCTTGGGTTATTGAAGGTCTTTTTGGGGTTTATCAATGTTCTTAGATTAACGATGCTTGATTTGACCTAATTATGACATAAAAAAGGATAACATTTTCCGAAAACAATTACATTTCCACATTTTACGTGATAATGACGAAGGAGGTGACATGTTACGTAATCACTGACGTCTTATTTGCAAATTTGTCAATAAAATCAATTATATTTAAATAAAAAAAAGATCAAAAGTCTAACCATTAAGACAAGGTTATAAAAGAAGACTTTGTAAATCATAATTGTTACTAAAAGGTCAAAAAAGAACTGTAAAAGAGATTGCATTTATTGAAAAAAGATTATAATAAAATAATATCATATTTTAAATTTCATGAAAAAAAAAAACGAGAAGTTCATAAAGTGTTATCAACAGATTTTAAAGTTAAAAGGTTCCTTAATATTACGACATCTTTTAGATAATCATGGGTGTCTTAAGAGTTAAGACACACTTCGATTTAATCATATGAGACTCTAATAACCTTGAGAAGACTCAACACACTAACAAGAACAAATACAACGTACAAGCCTTATCAATGTAAGTTACCCTCAAAGTTTACGACTTTTAATTTAACAAAAGACGAATTAAAAGTACTCTGGTTATGATCTATGGTTTCTTAGATTAACAACATTTTTATATCACTAGCATTTTTTTATTAACCTGGATATCCAACCCGCTATGCGAGCCGACTAATCCCAGGACGGCCACCTGCTTTGCAGATAGTCCGGAGTCACCGCATTTGAACTCCGTGGCCACAAGAGGATTTTTATTTCTCTTTTGATTTGAACATGAGACCTCCTGATACTTTTGACCTTTGAAGCCAAACTCAAACCAATCAGTGGTTTATCATTACCATTTTATATTCAACTTGTGAGCAAATAAAACTTCTTTTGAAATTCAAAAGGTAAAATAGTCGATTTTCTATCAAAATATATAAATCAAGGTGGATAATCCAAAAAAATACCAATTGGGCTCCCAACTTAACATTGGGCCTTTCAATACCAACTTCAGCCATCAAAGTCAAAGCAGGAAAAGTCAACCAACACATTTGCCCATTTCCAGCCTCTCTAGTCTCTCTCTTGTTCACATTAATATTTCAAGTCTCAGATCCACCACCACCACCACCTACATTACACAAAAACAATAATCAAACCCTTTAAGACAAGAATCAATTACAGGGGTATTTAGGTAATGAGCAATACACATGAGGAGGGCATTCTTGTCTTTTCCAAGAAACTCACTCTCTTATCAACCTATCTAAAGGCATCACACTCCTCCCTTCTCCTCATCAGTCTCTACAAACACAGCTAATTCCATTCTGTGTCGCTCCATCACCATCTTCATGGGAACACTGATTCTGGCGATCACAGTTCTGATCCTAGTAACCGCCCCAGTTTCCAGTTGCCACAGAGTTACAATTGAAGGCAACAATCAAAGATTCCAACCACAACACCGTTCCAATTCCAATTCTTCATCACCACCACCAGCAGCAGCTGCTCCTAAAGAATCAATGAATAACAATGCTGACCTCATTTTCGGTGCCTCACGACGGGCGATTCCCGGGGGACCAAACCCACTTCACAATTGATGAATAGCTTCATAATTGGTGATTTTGTAATGAATTTATATAAATTTTTGCACTTTTTTACATTGTATATTAGCGTTCCTAATACTCTTGTACTTCCATCACAAAAATGTATATTACTGTCACTCGAATATATAGAATACAACAGAATTTTCCACATGATGATCAGAGTTTGCAGGTCCATCTGTTCTGTATCACCCTTTGACTTCTACAGTTAATGAGAATTTGAAAAGATTATTTCATATTCATGAATTATACATCAGAAAATTTTCAGTTAGACATCTGATTTCTCGAAACTGTAAGCACTTTTTTATCATAAAAGTTAAAACACTGTCTCCTTTTCTTGAAACCGATTGAACGGTTTATAATTACAGGTCTGCATAACTAGATAATGATCCAGAAATGTAATTCCAAGCAAGATTTTGAGTAAAAAACTACGATTGACATATAAGTAGGAACATAAAAAATACAGAAAGATCAGATAAGACATTGGAGGCATATAGTGCCAAAAGAAAATTATAAGTATACACTAAAAGTCAAACAAATGAAGTTAGTGAATCCTAACTATGTGTATTATATTGCATGCTTAAGGGTACAAGTGTTTAATGCATAGCCTAACACAAGAACCAATTATCCGAAGTCAAAGACTCAAAGTCAACAACCCCAGTTATCTAATTTAATTTACAGTAATATTTAATCCGTAAGTTAATAGAGATGTAGTCGATGTTGTGTGCATTATTTGTAGGTTATGTGGGGACAAGACAAGCTTGTAAGATAAAGGAATCCAAGATAGAAGCAAGGCAGAAGAAAACAAGACAATTAATGAAGACCAGTAGCATCATGCATCTTTAAAGATACGACATTTAACAAACTAATTATGCATTTTCTCTGTTTTCAAATAGCAAACAATACAAGACTCCAAGAATCAAGTTTTGACCTGAAATGACCACACAGCAGCAAGTATTTTTAGGCCACCATCTCTATCTAGCTTTTAAACAACCTATAAACGTATGAATACGAACATGACATATGGGGTTGTGTTTTAAAAATGGAAAAGATGACAAATTAATGATGAATGATGAAGAAACTAGAAATATGTCATTTAAGGGACAAAAAAATGGACTCCACAAGGAACAATAAGTTAATACATTTTGAGAAGTATAAGTAAACTATCACAAAATATATGATCTGCAGCAAATAATAAATCACCTCTAGACTTGTCCTTGAAAAACATGAACAGGAATGGCTCCTTATGTAATCAGCGCATACAAAAAAATTAAATACATTTAAGTATTTAACTGTGTAAAAAAGTACCTACAATACTAACATTTCAGTGACAAAAATCTTCAAAAGAATGATGTCAGATTTGAATTTGAAAAGTTTTACTCTCACCATTTTGTGTCTGTTGTCCTTCTTCAACTTTATTGTCAAACTTGTATTTAACATAAAGCATAATTTACAAACATGCCACCGTACTTTCACACTTTTTTGAATTGCATACTCGAACCAAACAAGAGGGTTGAAGTCAACATTGGGGAACAAAGGGTATTCCCCCAAAAAGATAGTTTTAAGTATTTAGGCTCCATAATTCAGGAAAAAG